TTTTTTTATTATTATTTTAGGTTTAAAACAAACTGTTTAATTTTTACTTCATAACCATGACCTGTCAAGTCAATTTCATGGGTATAGTTTGATATACTTATTGAACACACACACGCATGCGCACACACAATTTTTTCCCGTGCTATATAGTATATTTGGCTTTACATGAGTGTACTGTATCCAAATAAAGCTGGATATTTTTTTATATACATACTGTATCTATACATAGAGCTCTATGATAAGATTCTTTCAAAAGTCTAATTCACGCAACAGAGATTTGAGTCTGCCATTTTAATTTAGAAAATCATGTTCCATTTACATTTAACATGCCATATTTAAATCTCATATCTTATAATTATTCACTACCATAAGCATAATGGATCAGTCCTTTTACCAAAAAGTACTGTGACAGTGGTGATGTTATCAGAGAGTATGATTTATGATATTATGATTACCATGAAAAAAAACCCTGGGGATGCTTTTTGACAACTTTTTGTTTGTGTTATGTCAGCTGAAGTCTCAGCAGCTCTATTTAATGCTATTCAATCTACAGAGAAAGACAGACTAGACTATGTAGATGATTACCAGGACCTCTACACCACCTCAGAGACACTGGACATTGAGCTCTTCCAGATTCCCTCGGTTGGGCTGTTTGCTGCTATGGCTCATCGGGCCAACAAACCAGGTTCTGCCATCTACCGCTGGAACCATGGCCAATTCCAGCTCTACCAGAACATCAGCACATTTAAGGCCCAGGCATGGAAGCAATTCACTATAGGGAGGAAGGTGAGAAAAGACAATAACGTTGTCAAAGTCTAAACCTTTCAAGTGGTACAGCTGTCAGCGAATATAAAGTTTAGACATATTAATCATTTCAATTTAATCCGATTTTTACAATTCTTTTAAAACCAAAGTGTCTAATAAAAAAAAAAGTCCTAATTTCATTGTACTGATTTTGATTTGGCAGGTTTTTCAAGAAAAAAAATAATTTGAATTTCAGCATTTTGGTTGTTTCTTTACTACAATCTTTGGACAGTTATATCACCTAGTCATTTTTTAATTGTAATTTTGTCTGTGCATTTTAATAATAATTGCGTTTTATAAAAAAAACTTGATAGAACAGAAAAAAAAAACCGTTGTGGAAAATATGACTACAAAAATATCACATTAATGTCTAAGAAATTGAAACTGTAAAAAGGTAAAAGCAAAAATGACAAACAAGTACAAAAATATCAACATCAATTTTAACTAAGAAATTGAAACTGTAAAAGATGTGTATTCAAGTCACATTTTTCACTCTCATGCTTCATTATTTTTTCTTTTTTAAAAGCTAAAATAATTGCTTTTTAAAATTACTGTAGGTTAGAATGTATAAAAAAAACCAATGAGAAACAACAAATACAAAAATATCATCATTAATTTCAACTAAGAAATTAATGTAAAATGTAAAACATTGAAGTCACAGTGTTAAAAGAAGTAAATAAAATATATGAACAATAAGGGCCATATCAATGATATAGAAACACATTAAACAGAGGACTTGAATTTGCAGTTAAACAGGCAAAGGTTGTACAGAGAGCAGTGATTGGCACTTCATTAGGAAAGAATTACTGGCAGAAAAGGCCTGAGGTGAAATGTTAAGGGAGACTTACAGTCAGGAATGAGGTAAGGGGCAGGTAAGAACTGAGACTGGGTTTAGAGATACACTAGACGTGGTTCAGTACCATAAGTGTGATCTGCATGTTTTCCATTCAATCATGCACAGAGCCACAGAGAACAGACTTTACACTGCACTGCTGGAGACAGGTGTGTTTTGATGTGGTGTTTCTTACACTCAGTACAAACGTATGCAATAACTTTAAATCACTAGTGTAGTCAATCACAGAAATTAATTTCAAGTCTGATGCTTTCCCTTCCCCGAATGAATCATTTATACACATCTGTCTGTCTGCAGTGGAATGGTTTAGTCTTAATTATATCACACAGATCTTGAATTATAAAGACTAGGAAGTAATAAAAGTTCTTTGTTGAAACCTGCAGCCCCTTATACGACTATTATCATCATCATTATATCACAGAGTTTATATTTGTATCAGTTAAAACATCATTAAACTCTTCACCTGAGTGATATTATGACTCATACTAGGCTATATAGTACAGTATATCTACCACCTGATCTTCACACTGTTCTAAATTTAGTGAGCTGGATTCATGATAGCCAAATGACGGGCTGACTGATAAGTGTAACTTGATCTCTGTTTGTCTGTATCAGGCTCATTTATCACTGTGTGTGTCGTATGTGTGCCAGATGTTCTTGGCGGTGTCGAACTCCGTGGGCCCAGCGGACGGAGAGCGAGAGCTGTCTGTGATCTATAGGTGGAGTAATAAGAGGCTGAAGTTTGTGCGTTATCAGACCCTGGAGACGCACAGCGCTCGTGACTGGGAGGCCTTTCATATTAATAATGAAGCT